CAGGCTCTATGTATGACCCTAAACACAGACCCATGTATGACCCTACACACAGGCCTATGTATGACCCTACATACATACCTCTATGTATGACTCTACACTCATGCCTATGTATGACCCTCTACACACAGGCCTCATGTATGACCCTACATACAGACCTATGTATGACCCTACACACAGGCCTATGTATGACTCTTCTTCATACATACCTATGTATGACTCCTACACACAGGCCTATGTATGACCCTACATACAGGCCTATATATGACCTCTACACACAGGCCTATGTATGACCCTACACACAGACCTATGTATGACCTTGCTACATGACAGGCCTATGTATGACCCTACATACAGACCTCCATGTATGACCCTACATACAGACTCCATGAATGACGCTACACACACGCCTATGTATCACCCTACATACAGACCTATGTATGACCCTACCCACAGGCCTATGTATGACCCTACATACAGACCTATGTATGACCTTACATACAGACTCCATGTATGACCCTACACACAGCCCTATGTATGACCCTACACACAGACCTTAAGTATGACCCTACATACAGACCTATGTATGACCCTCTACACACGGGCCTATGTATGACCCTACACACAGGCCTATGTATGACCCTACACACAGACCTATGTAATGACCTTTTTTACATACAGACCTATGTATGACCCTACTCACACGCCTATGTATGACCCTACATACAGACCTATGAATGACACTACACACACGCCTATGTATGACCCTACAGACAGACCTATGTATGACCCTACCCACAGGCCTCATGTATGACCCTACATACAGACTCCATAATGACCCTCTACACACAGGCCTATGTATGACCCTACACACAGACCCATGTATGACCCTCTACATACAGACCTATGTATGACCCTACTCCACACGCCTATGTATGACCCTACATACAGACCTATGTATGACTCCTCTACCCACAGGCCTATGTATGACCCTACATACAGACCTATGAATGACCCTACACACAGGCCTATGTATGACCCTACATACAGACCTATGAATGACCCTACACACAGGCCTCATGTATGACCCTACGTACAGACCTATGTATCACCCTACACACAGGCCTATGTATGACCCTACATACATGCCTATTTTATGACCCAACACACAGGCCTATGTATGACCCTACATACAGGCCTATGTATGACCCTACACACAGACTCCATGTATGACCCTACACACAGGCCTATGTATGACCCTACACACAGGCTCCATGTATGATCTTCTACATACAGGCCTATGTATGACCCTACACACAGACCTATGTATGACTTCTACACACATGCCTATGTATGACCCTACACACAGACCTCCATGTATGGACCTTTTCTACACACAGGCCTATGTATAACCCTACACACAGACCCATGTATGACCCTCTACACACAGACCTATGTCTGACCCTACACACAGACCTATGAATGACCCTACATACAGACCTATGTATGACCCTACACACAGACCCATGTATGACCCTACAAACAGACTCCATGTACAACCCCTACACACAGGCCTATGTATGACCCTACACACAGACCTATGTATGACCCTACATACAGAATTATGTATGACCCTACACACAGACCCATGTATGACCCTACACACAGACCTATGTATGACCCTACACACAGGCTCCTCCATGTATGACCCTACACACGGGCCTATGTATGACCCTACTACACTTCGGGCCTATGTATGACCCTACACACGGGCCTATGTATGACCCTACACACAGGCTTGTGTATGACACACAGGCCTATGTGTATGACCCTCTACACACAGGCCTATGTATGACCCTACACACATGCCTATGTATGACCCTACACACATGCCTATGTATGACCCTTTGAATACAGACCTATGTGTATGACCCTACATACAGACTCCATGAATGACCCTCTACACACATATATATTTGTATGACCCTACATACAGACCTATGAATGACCCTACATACAGACCTATGAATTACCCTACATACAGACCTATATATGACCCTACATACAGACCCCATGTATGACCCTACATACAGAACTATGTATGACCCTACATACAGACTTCTATGTATGACCCTACATACAGACCTATGAATGACACTACACACACGCCTATGTATGACCCTACATACAGACTCCATGTATGACCCTACCCACAGGCCTATGTATGACCCCTACATACAGACTCCATGTATGACCCTACATACAGACCTATGTATGACCCTACACACAGCCCTATGTATGACCCTACACACAGACCTAAGTATGACCCTACATACAGACCTATGTATGACCCTACACACAGGCTCATGTATGACCCTACACACAGGCCTATGTATGACCCTACACACAGACCTATGTACGACCCTACATACAGACCTATGTATGACCCTACCCACACGCCTATGTATGACCCTACATACAGACCTATGAATGACACTACACACACGCCTATGTATGAACCTACATACAGACCTATGTATGACCTTACCCACAGGCCTATGTATGACCCTACACACAGACCTATGTATGACCCTACACACAGGCCTATGTAATGACCCTACACACAGGCCTATGTACGACCCTACACACAGACCTATGTATGACCCTACCCACACGCCTATGTATGACCCTACATACAGACCTATGTATGACCCTTTCTACCCACAGGCCTATGTATGACCCTACATACAGACCTATGAATGACCCTACACACAGGCCTATGTATGACCCTACGTACAGACCCATGTATGACCTTTCTACACACAGGCCTCATGTAAGACCCTACATACAGACCTATGAATGACCCTACACACACGCCTATCTATGACCCTACATACAGACCTATGTATGACCCTACATACAGACTCCATGTATGACCTCTACACACAGGCCTACATGTATGACCCTAAACACAGACCTATGTATGACCCTACACACAGGCCTATGCATGACCCTACATACAGACCTATGAATGACACTACACACACGCCTATGTATGACCCTACATACAGACTATCCATGTATGACCTCTACCCATTACAGGCCTATGTATGACCCTACACACAGGCCTATGTATGACCCTACACACAGACTCCATGTATGACCCTACATACAGACCTATGTATGACCCTACCCACACGCCTATGTATGACCCTACATACAGACCTATGTATGACCCTACCCACAGGCCTATGTATGACCCTACATACAGACCTATGAATGACCCTACACACAGGCTCCATGTATGACCCTACGTACAGACCTATGTATGACCTCTACACACAGGCCTATGTATGACCCTCACATACAGACTCCATGAATGACCCTACACACACGCCTATGTATGACCCAACATACATGCCTATTTATGACCTCTACACACAGGCCTATGTATGACCCTACATACAGGCCTATGTATGGACCCTACATACAGACCTATGTATGACCCTACATACAGACCTGTGTATGACACTACATACAGACTCTATGAATAACCCTACACACAGACCTATGTATGACCCTACACACTTGCCTATGTATTACCCCTACATACAGACCTATGAATGACCCTACATACAGACTCCATGTATGACCCTACATACAGACCTATATATGACCCTACACACATGCCTATCTATGACCCTACACACATGACTATCTATGACCCTACATACAGACTCCATGTATGACCCTACATACAGACCCATGTAATGACCCTACACACAGGCCTATGTATGACCCTAAACACAGACTCCATGTATGACCCTACACACAGGCCTATGTATGACCCTACATACATACCTATGTATGACTCCTACACACATGCCTATGTATGACCCTACACACAGCCTCCATGTATGACCCTACATACAGACTCCATGTATGACCCTACACACAGGCCTATGTATGACTCTACATACATACCTATGTATGACTCTCTACACACAGGCCTATGTATGACCCTACATACAGGCCTATATATGACCCTCACACACAGGCCTATGTATGACCCTACACACAGACCTATGTATGACCCTACACACAGGCCTATGTATGACCCTACACACAGGCCTATGTATGACTCCTACACACAGGCCTATGTATGACCCTACATACAGGCCTATGTATGACCCTACACACACAGACCCATGTATGACTCTACACACATGCCTATGTTTGTATGACCCTACACACAGACCTCCATGTATGACCCTACACACAGGCTCCATGTGGCTGACCCTACACACAGGCCTATGTATGACTTTCTACACACAGGCTCTATGTGCATGACCTCTACATACAGGCCTATGTATGACCCTACACACAGACCTATGTATGACTCCTACACACATGCCTATGTATGACCTTACACACAGACTCCATGTATGACCTCTACACACAGGCCTATGTATGACCCTACATACAGGCCTATGTATGACCCTACACACTAGCCCTATATGTATGACCCATACATACAGGCCTATGTGCATGACTCTACACACAGACCTATGTATGACTCTACATACAGACCTATGAATGACCCTACATACAGACCCATGAATGACCCTACATACAGACCTATGTATGACCCTACAGCCTCTATATGAATCCAATGTATTCTATAGAAAGAGACCAATACCTTAATATGCATGTGTTAACTTGTAGCCGACCGCCTTTTGTGGTGTAGTAGTGGTTAGAGCGTCCGCCCGGAGAGCGGTAGGTCCTGGAGTTCGTTCCCCGGCTGCGTCCATCATACCAACAGCCGTTAAAATATAGCACTATAAAACCAGCTTTAAGTCTGGGTTAGCACAAGCAGCCACACACACAATATCACGCACGCAGGTCGTCATATGAGCTTAAACAGTCCTAAGTGCCAAGTTAAAACCACATATCACCATCAACTATTTTAGTATATGAGACTACATTATGAACTGTGTCTGCAGGCCAAGATCAACCTTCACTACGATGCTGATGTACCCATCGTGGTCGCTGTTGCCAACACGTCTGTAGGAACGAGGGAAACGTCTGCTGACAGCCATACAGGACTTCAGACATGTAAGTAGCACTTCGCTATAAGGTTGGTCTGCAACAGCAATAATACCAGGAGTGTCAGCTTAGTGTGATACAGGACTTCAGACATGTAAGTAGCACTGCAATAGGGTGGGTCAGCAACAGCAATAATACAGGAGTGTCAGCTTAGTGTGATACAGGACTCTCAGATTACGTATGTAGCACTACTATAGGGTGGGTCAGCAACAGCAATAATACCAGGAGTGTCAGCTTTTAGTGTGATACAGGACTTCAGATTACGTAAGTAGCACTCGCTATATGTTGGGTTAGCAACAGCAATAATACAGGAGTGTCAGCTTAGTGTGATACAGGACTTCAGACATGTATGTAGCACTACTATAGGGTGGGTGCAGCAACAGCAATTATACCAGGAGGCGTCAGCTTAGTGCGATACAGGACTTCAGACATGTATGTAGCACTGCTCTAGGGTGGGTCTGCAACAGCAATAATACCAGGAGAGTCACATTAGTGTAATACAGGACTTCAGACATGTAAAGTAGCACTGCTATAGGGTGGGTCAGCAAAAGCAATAATACAGGAGTGTCAGCTTAGTGTCACAGGACTTCAGACATGTAAGTAGTACCGCTATAGGGTAGGTCATCCAGAGCAATAATACCAGGAGTGTCAGCTTAATGTGATACAGGACTTCAGACATGTATGTAGCACTACTATAGGGTGGGTCAGCAACAGCAATAATACCAGGAGTATCGGCTTAATTTGATACAGGACTTCAGACATGTAAGTAGCACTTCTTTAGGGTCGGCCAGCAACAGCAATAATAATACAGGAGTATGACCTTAGTGTGATACAGGACTTCAGACATGTAAGTAGCACTGCTATAAGGACTGGTGTCTGCAACAGCAATAATACCAGGAGTGTCACCTTTAGTGTGATGCAAGACTTCCAGACATACGTCAGTAAAACTGCTATAAGGTCTGTCTGCAACAGCAATAATACCAGGAGTGTCACCTTAGTGTGATGCAAGACTTCAGACATGCTGCTCAGTAAAACTGCTATAAGGTCTCGTCTGCAAATAAGCAATAATACCAGGAGCGTCAGCTTAGTGTGATGCAGGACTTCAGGACAAGTATGTAGCACTACTATAGGGTCGGTCAGCAACAGCAATAATACCAGGGTGTGCTCAGCTTAGTGTGATGCTGA